TTGATTTTATTTTTTCTCAAATCAATTATATAGGAAAATACTTTATAATGTTATTCATTTAAACAGCCTTGCTTGATATTATTATTATCCTGTGACATCGTAGAACTTTTGATTATGACATTGAGTTGTCGCAATGTGTTATATACACGAAGAACAGGAATTAGAGAATAAACCGATATTTTATCATGTGTTCCGTAAAATATCATTTCTAGATATGTAAGCGTTGTATTGATGGTCACACTTCTCGTTAATTCAGGATAACCTAATGGAACCGAAGAGTAGCAACACGAAGTGTGGATGGTATATTTAACAAAACCATTCTACTGAACAGGTGTGCATGACTCCTACATAGATTATCCTTTCCAGCAGTGTAAGACTGAATTATGTGAGGCGATACGATCTGAGTTTGTATTTTCAATTTCTTGATAACATTTTCCAGTTCAGATGATGCATGAAGACCCCAAAATATGCAGGAACGAAGATTGGGAAACTCATGTCGGCTAAAAAGCTATGTAATGACATTTGTCTGATCGCAAATTTTATCACAAATATCCAGCGAAATAACTTAATCGGAATGAAAGGTCAAGTGATGAGATAGAAATTCAGTTTGACCGCGACAATGTACAAAATCAATAATTACATGACGATGACTTAATTTTAAAATAGATGATATACGTGAATTGAGAGAAGCAAATGCCAAGAACAGAACGAATGCACTTAAATAATCAAAGATATCACAAAATATTTTGCTCGAGAAATTCTTCCAATAGAGTAGAATTTGTCATTACACTGCCTGACGAACTGACGTACATATATATCAAATATACAGTGAATAGGTTACAGGTGAATAGGATACAGTGAATATACTAATGAATCGACCAATAAATAAAACAAGCATTGTATGTATGTATGTTTGACGTCGACCGCCTATTCCTCAATATTTTAGATGATTAGACAGACTGAAAAAAGTAAGACAAATTAAACGTGAATTAACAATATAAGTGCCGTTGTTACGTAGAAACGCCAGTCACATTGCTTAATTCAACTTTAAGTTAATTTTTTTTCTGTCTGTTTGGCCATGACCAGACAGAAAAAGTAAATTAACTTAAATCGAATTAAAGCGATGTGATCGGCACATTAAGAGCTAAATCGTCTATTCTCGACGATTTATCGTTAATTCTGTTTTAATGCGTCTTATTTTTTTCAGTCTGTTTGGGGCCTTAGACTCCAAACACATCGAACAAATTAAAACAGAATTAACCAATGTACTGCAACTCATTCAAAGCTATATGATTGCTTACGGCGAGCTAATGATTACGATCGTGCATCCGACCTAATTTTGTTTTTCTTAGTTACTTCTAACTTCAGCAGTTTTCAATTGTACACGAAAATTTGGATATGGAAGATGAAATACAGACTTATAATGAAATGAATCCACGAAGTACAAATAAATCGCGCGGCATACTATCGAACATTACAAACAAAAGTACGTAATAGAGAGACAGTATAACATTAACGATCGGTAAGGTTCTCGCTCTATCTATGGAGTAGATGAAAGCTTGTTTCCTCTTGATGAATCACGTTCACACTACCAATCAAAAACAAACACTACCATAACTAATCAAAATATGAGCAACATACCAACTTGTACTGAAACAGTTAGTAAACTGACTCTCAATAAGAAACGCGAACAAGTCATGAAAAGAAAAGGTATAGCAGCAATTTAGAGAGAGCTCACACACCGATACTCTGTACGAATTGCCAGACTCTGCAGTGATTCTTGCAGAATCAGGTGTAATTCTACCGGAAGTCAGCCAGAATCTACCATATTCTGTTTCACACTCCGATACACTCTACGAATTGGACGATTGTGCTTAATTCGGCAGTGATTCTGACAGAATCCGCTGCAGTTCTACCAGAAGTCAACCAGAATCCACTGTACTCTGTTTCACACTCAGATACACTCCACGAATTGGCAGATCCCGCTCAATATTCCCCTGATTCCGGCAGAATCTGCTGCAATTCCACCAGCTGTCAACCAGAATCCACTGTATTCTGTTTCACACTCAGATACTCCGTACGAATTGGCAGATTCCGCTCTGATTCTGGTAGAATCTGCCCCAATTCTACCAGAAGTCAACCAGAATCCACTATATACTTCTGCACACATAGATATTCTATACGAATTGGCAGATCCTGCTTAATTCTGCGGTGATTCTGGCAGAATCTGCTGCAGTTCTACCAGAAGTCAACCAGAATTCACCATATTCTGTTTCACACTCAGAAACTCGCTACAAATTTCCCGATTGTACTAAATTCTGCTGCGATTCCGGCAGAATCAGGTGTAATTCGACCGGATGTCAGCCAGGATCTGCCTTATTCTGTTTCACACTCAGATACTCTCTACGAATTGGCAGATTCTGCTCAATCTGCAATGATTCTGGCAGAATCAGGTGTATTGTATTCTGCACGAACTGGTAGATCCTGCTTAATTCTGCTGTGTTTCTGGTTGAATCTGCTCCAGTTCTACCAGAAGTCAAGCATAATCCATCATATTCTGCTGCACACACAGGTATTCTGTAGGAATTGCCAGATCCTGCTTAACTCTGCTGTCATTCTGGTTGGATGTGCTGCAATTCTGCCATAAGTCATCCGAAATGCACTGCATTCTGCTGCACACACAGATATTCTGTACGAATTGGCAGATCCTGCTTAACTCTGCTGTCATTCGAGTAGAATCTGCTCCAATTCTACCAGAAGTCATCCGAAATCCACTGTATTCTGCTGCACACACAGATATTCTGTACGAATTGGCAGACTCTGCTCAATTCTGCCGTGATTCTGGCAGAATCTGCTCCAGTTCTATCAGAACTCAACCAGAATCCACCATATTCTGTTTCACACTCAGATACTCTCTACGAATTGGCAGATTCTGCTTAATTCTGCTGTGATTCTAGTAGAATCTGGTCTAATTCTACCAGAAGTCAACCAGAATCTACCATATTCTGCTGCACACACAGATATTCTGAAGGAACTGGCAGATCCTGCTTAATCCTGCAGTGATTCTGGCAGAATCAGGTGTAATTCTATCGGAAGTTAGCCAGAATCTACCATATTCTGTCTGACACTCCGATACACTCTACGAATTGGCAGATTCTGCTCAATTCTGCCGTGATCCTCGCAGAATCAGGTGTAATTCTACCGGAAGTCAGCCAGAATCTACCATATTCTGTTTCACACTCCGATACACTCTACGAATTGGCCGATTGTGCTTAATTCGGCAGTGATTCTGACAGAATCCGCTGCAGTTCTACCAGAAGTCAACCAGAATCCACTGTATTCTGTTTCACACTCAGATACACTCCACGAATTGGCAGATCCCGCTCAATATTCCCCTGATTCCGGCAGAATCTGCTGCAATTCCACCAGCTGTCAACCAGAATCCACTGTATTCTGTTTCACACTCAGATACTCCGTACGAATTGGCAGATTCTGCTCAATTCTGCTGTGATCCCCGTCCAAAACAAAGTGAATTCTGTTTCCCATTGTAAATTATTTTTGTTAAAATATTCATTTCGTTCATCAGTGTTACTAATATTGAGTGGAATCTGAATTTCATATTGCTTCGATACAAAAAAAATAAACAAAGCGGTGGCATAAGTCAACCATGTATTTTGAAACAAACGTCGTTCCAATAATATTTGATTTCTTAATATTGAGTCATCATTATTATTTCGCTGTAATAATATTGAGCGTACTGTATGATTGTAAGACGCACAGAAATTATTAAAACTAGCGTGCATATACGTCAAATCTGACGAGAATCTTAAAATTAATTCAATTGCGTACGCATTCTTTTCAGCCAAATAAATATATCTACTACTGAGTAACGCATCACGAGTAATAAATTGTTTAGATCCTCGAACATAACTATTGGAATAGTAGTCGACATGACAACAGCGTGCAGAATATGTACAACCATTTTCAGCAGTCTCATTCTTAAATACATATACGTGCTCTTTAAACTTTAATTCCAATGGTTGATGACATGTTAAACAAATATCGGTAAATGGCTTAATTGTATGTAATGATGTATGTGTAGAAAAATATGGGTTTTTTGAATAATTGTTTATTAAATCTCCTATACTTTCAGATGGAAATAATTCGACTTGACCGTGAAGTTTGTGACGTTTTAATAAATTTATCATTGCTTCAATCTGATCCGATTTATACTCAACATGATAAAGTAATTGAATAATATTTGATATATCTTGAAATTTGGTTTTTATGCAATTATATAATCGCTGATCAATATTAAACATTAAATTCAAATGCTTAAGTGGAATATTTCTGTCTAATGATACAATATATGCTTCTTTTTCATTCATACTCATGTTGGATTGATTAACAGACGTCTGGAAGTAAGAAGACTAATGAAAAATGTCGTTTTAAAGTGTACATGATTATACAAAACAAACAGTGGTTGTCATGTTTCAAATATGAAAAGGAAATAAAAGAATTTTTGTCAGGAAAAAGCATGAAGCTTTTAACCATTAAAAACAAAAACCGAACACTTTGAAGCAAATAGTTAATGTAAGTATTTACCTATTATATACACGAAGACAAAGAAACAAAAGGAAAAAATAAATGCCTTCGAATCTGCGCCGACAACGAATCGAAAAAACCAAATAAATAGAACTCTATAAATCTAGACTAGCGTAAAGGACTCACACAAAAACAGAGTAAATATATATGATAAAATCAATAACCTAGCTGTACATTGCTCATAAATACTGTTATTTTTCTAATACTTGTTTTGACCTAAATATTTGTAACACACATTGATATAGGTATATGATGTGAAAAATTGAGCATGACAGAGAAAGAACCAAATACAGCGCAAAAATAGAAAACTAAGTGGAAAAAAACGACTACAAAAATAAGACAGAAAAACTGGCTTAGTTTGGTGCTGCTAACTTTCGTTTTTTGGAAATTGATTCTTTTTCTAAAAGTTTTTGAGTAGGTTTTCGCTTCTGTCTTGTACGTGTTGTCGTCGCTGCTGATGTTGATATATTTTCACGTACCAACTCTGAATTATGATCTTCTGTAGACACTGTTTGTATTTTGCACGATAAATTGGAATTTTTTAGATTTAAATCAACTGCCATACTATAATCTTGCGAATCTAAATAGAGAATGTTCACTCTGCCTGATTATATGCCACACTGGATGTATGAAAAAATACGTCAGAGAACAATCTCGTTCGTCATCAGGAACAATTTCGTTCTTACAAATCATAAATCTGCTTTTGGGATGACTATAGACGAAATAGATGGGAAGCGTACTTGGTTTCTTCCAGTTCATGTTCCAAGTCTGTCAGAAAAACATACATTCACTGCCAGTCGCTTTATGTCTCAACACGTTGCAAAGGGGAAACATCTGTAAGTCGCATAAAAGGTCTGAAGTTTTCACGTTTGCAAAAACAAGTTGAAGCAATACTTTGTAAATAATTTTGGCGTAGAAATATGAACGAAGGATCAACTGTGCATACTTATGTTAGCATTATTTGCAGTCGATTTTACAACATCAACATTTCTTTCACTATTATCGAAATTCCAAACTTTTCTTCCGGTTGGTTTCATTACTAAACGTTCACCAATTTTCAGTACATGTTCACAATAAGGTGGACTATTGAACAAGGCCAATGCATCTTGCGTAACAAATGCCAAATTTTTTGTTTTAATCTTCTTCATAGTATTAAAATACATTTGAATATCTTTAATTTCAACATCTTTTAACATCATCGAGAAATTAATCTCTTCTACTGCTGTATGTGGTAATAATTTCAAATAACAAGGCCGATAACTATGTTTATTAGCCAAAAAATCTGTTTTTAACGATAATAATTTCATTTTAATTAATACTTCACATGCTTTGTGTATGTCAGTCATATTGTGACCGCTTATAGATCGATTCAATAGCGTTCGTGATAGCAACGGTGAATCTATCATCAAAACTTTTCCACATATATCTTTTATTTTTTCACTCAATACACCACGTACTGTACTAAATGTTGTTCTTTCTGAGTTCGACGATGTGTTGGTTTTGTCACTTAATGGAATATTATTTGATAATGTGGACGTATATCTATAAAAGAAGCAAAATATATTATATATATATAAATTTATACAATCTAACTTCCCATTGCGGCACTTTTAGAAGAACTGTGCCAGCTTTTTGGATTTATTATGTTTTTTCACCGAAAGATCAATTTAAATCGATTTTTTTTTATATTAAAAACATTAAACGTTTTTTACTAGAAAAATTCGTTTAGATCGACTTTTTCTTTTGAAAAAAACCTATTTAAATTAATCTTTTTAGAATTCTTTTAGAAAAATCTGTTTAAATTCATTTCTTTCTCAATGAATCTGATTTTGGTTCTTGTAAAAGGTTAATTTGAATTTCTTTTTTCTCCAAATCAAAGATAAAATGCACTTAAACAGATTTTCTCAAAAACTAAAACCCGATTTATTGGGGTAGAAATAAATTTAAATAGATTTGTCATACAAAAAGTTACGCAGAATGAATTTAAATAAATCGTTTTAAAAATTAGTTTAAACAGATTTTTCTAAAAGATTTTTAAAAAAGTAAATTTAAATAGGTTTTTTTCAAAAAAAAATCGATTCAATTGATTTTTCCATGAAAAAAAAAAATAAATCAAAAAACATGGCACATTTCTTCAAAAAGTGCCGCAATGAGTTCTCATACTTGGCACTAGTGCTTTATATATCAACAAACCTCCTGTATAATCATTTATGGATAATCCATTTGTATTGTTCTCATCATTTAATTTACTAACAGCTGATTGATCAACACCATTTAGTACTATTTCTTCCATTTCTGTAAAGCCATCTGCTATAAGTATCTGTGGTGTCATACTTATGTCTAAATTAAAAGGCGCACGTTTTTAATATTTTAAACTGCTTTGGTTTTCAGAACTCTTCTTGTCGTGCACATTTGTAAGGCAAACAGTTTTGAAGTCAGCTCAAATTTCTACGGTATGAAATTGGCTTTGCTCTGTAGAAAAATAGTAAACACACTTAATTGTTCGATTTTAAATAGTTTTTCATTTAACAATCTTAATAATTCATATTGTATTTTTATTCTTTCTTCGCCGTCTCGACTTAATTTGAAACCATCTGCGTGATCCAAATTTGTTTCACAGTTTTTTACATATTTCTCCAGTGATATACCATAATTATTTATTAACGTTTTGCTATAATTCGACAAATTTGTGTCATCTTCATCAGTAAATTTAGAATATTTATCATCCACGATGGAAGAAGACGTCTTGGTGTCTCGAGATACTGGCCATATGATAAAATTTTTTTTCAACTAAATCTGCTAATAATCCATAGACATGAATTTTATCTCTGGTATGATTATGAAAAATACAACCACTTCTAGTTAATGTGCTTAATGAAAATGCATTAAATGGTGTTTGTAATATTGCATGTTGATGTTCGAGATTACCGATTTCTTTTTGATGATTATCTGGTTCAGAACAAAATAAATGCAACGCTTGCGGATAAAATAAATCATCGTATATACGTACAGCTGCTTTCACTGCAGCTAATGTTATTTTCATTGATTTTTTCGGCGGTTTTGATACTGTTGTTATTCGTACAACCGCTAAGTCTTTAAGATCAATATTATTTGGATAGCCCATTCGTCCATCATCGATATTACTATCATCATCATTTTTGCCATATAATATTTGGATATTTTCTTTTATTCTCGTCAGCGTCTCTTTTGCTATGGTATGAAACTTCAAATCTTCAATACCATTCAATACTTTTAGTACATCAAACACATTTTGTATCACAAATGCTATCCGTTCTATCAGATCTGCAGAACGACGTTCTAAAGCTTGTAATAAACCCAGAGGGTAAAGCAGTAATAAATAAACGAGAATATAAGAAATATAACACTTGAACATATGAACATATGAAGAGAAAAGAAATAAAGAAAACAAGAAACGAACATTGATTTGATCTATTTTCATTTTCAAAATTCAACGAACGTTCTTTTCAAGAACAAACAAGAAAGAACAGTCATCTTTGTCTTTTTGTATATAACTCTGTTAAATGTCCCATTTTAGTCAGCCTGAAGATGATGTTAGAAAGACATCGAAAGCTCGCTAACGAATAAAAGTTTTTGTTCAAAATGATTTTCATAGCAGTGTTATATTTCTTATATTCTCGTTCTAAAGCTTGTTCACGTTTATTATTATGTGATGGTATACATCTCATTTGTGGTGGAGAACGATTCAAACGTAAACCTTTTAATATAGGTTGCAAATAAGCAATAGCATCTGTTTCATATTCACAAACTCGAAAACCAATTAACATTCGAATTACGAATAATTGCCCTAGTGATACTAAATTTTTATTTAACGGTAGGGTATTTTCGACAAAATTCAAATTCGAAATACACCAATATAAAATTCTTTCATAAAGACCTAAAATAACAAAAAAGGGTTAATAGGCTTGTTGGTAGAGCAGTTGGAAATAAGTATTTGTAAATCGAATATAGAACTGCTAACTGATGAATTTAAAGAAAGAAACGTGCAGCTATGCCAACTACAAGTTCTCCTTGAGTTATTTTTCTTTTTTATTCATAGCAGTTCTATATTCGATTTACAAATGGTTAATAGGCTGGCGCCTGATAAGTTTGAGATCACGTTTACGGGGGAGGGCTCAATTTTCACTACGGCCCGTTCTGGGAAACCTTGAACTGAAAGCTCGTTTTCTAGAAGTTATTCTCGTTACAACCACTATATGATACTACTAACTTCAACCCCCTACAAGTTTCCTTTCCTTTAAAAGTGCATTTAGGAAAATTCTCGGAGGCAACATTTGTGCATCTTTCACATCGTGAACCTCAAATAACTTTCACATACCATTTGTAGCATTTGAACTGGTAAAATATTCCAAAATTTGAGACCAGCAGTTACCAATCGTTGGGCATAACAACGTTAATGACCTGTCAGCAATGTCTTTATTGTATAACATGGTACCTTTTAATAACGAGTAGATTCCATTAAATGCATTAATATATGTTGGCTGTGTATCTTTTGCTCTTTTGGATCCTGGTTCAAAAAAATCCATGTCATGCATTGATACATCTTCATCACCGCTGATAAACGTTGACGCGTCTTCTAATTGACAATACAGTTTTGCTAATGTTAGATGTTCAGCAAACGTTGAATGAATTTTTCCATCTTCATCTTTAAATTTTTCCTGAAAATAACGTTCAACGAACTGAAATGCTTGACGAATTAATTTGATATAACCAGATTTGTTTGTTACTACAAGGAAATATACAGAATGATATGAATTGTAGGAGAAGCTCTGATCCGTGCACAGACGAATGATGCTACGAATAACAACAGACTGAAAGTATTCAGGTGTCGGAGATGGTTTGTGCTGTTACATGGTAATACTTGAACTAGTACAGATTTTGCTGCGCCTCAGTGCGACTGACCGTTTTCTTTACCATACTATGTAGGCGTGACTATATGACTTTAGGATTTTGTGACATTATATAAAATTATGTTTACTTTAAGTAAACATAATAACGTAAAATACCGAATAGTTTAATAGTTTGATATTTATTCGTTTCAGCTAAATAAAGTTTTGATTCATTTGCCCAGTGCACAAAGCTAACCATGAAACATATAAACAATGTCAAATCTTGATAGCCTAATGCTTCATAATTTGAAAATATTTTTAATAAATCTTCACTATCAGCAAAATATTCTTTTAGTTTATGATTCGCGGTTATTTGCTGACATAATTTAAAATTTCTGTCATCAATATTATTGAAATTTTTTTTTGTTCTCTTTTAGTCATTTTTGTTCAATACTACACACATATAGTGATGTAAAAAATAATTGTGAACGTGAAGTAATTTCTCTAAAACGTAAGAAAGACAGCAACTAAAAGCTCAGTTCTTATAACTTTATTCGCCAAACAAAAGTACAGAACTAGGTAGCAACAGATGTATCTATTTCTCCGTTATTTGTAAAAAAACCAGCTATCAATCTTTAATTCGTCAGTCGATGCAGGAGACCCATTGTCAGCACTGTATACGGGAACTATCGTTAATGGATGAGAAATTTGGCAAAATCTTACTGATTTTCGCAGTGCAAGCGTCCTCACCGTTGATTGTCAGTTAGCTGTGGAAAACTTGCACTTTAGACTAGACCTTAGAATAACTTTTGTTTATTCATTCAGAAATACCCGCTAAAGAAAAGCACATACATTGGTATGGAGACCGGCCAATGAAAGCATCGGCTTTCATTATCGTTTATGCAGTTGAATATTTCACAGGGCATACCTAATTTTGTTACATCAAAGTTTTAAATTCTAAATAAATAACTTTTACCCAGGCCTCTTCCTTATACTGAAATACCAATACGGCAATATTTATTGAGGACGCCGCCACAACACTACCCCTTACAGATGGTCTGAACATAAACAAAATATACTAACAGTGGTAAACACCACAGAAAGCTACTGATACGGCAGAGCTCTAGCAGGAATCGCAATCAAAATGCGCTCCGGTGGCCCATCAAAATTAAATAAAAGCCATGCCTTAGATACAATTTACTATCTTTTTCTAGAATAACAACAGGTCTTCTCGCCTCACTTTATCATATAAACCCGTTACGCAGCTGTCAAACAATCTTATTATCAAAAATAGTGCTCCAATTCTCAACAGTAAAAGTGTACTATAGTACTACAGTTCCCAACATTATATGTACACAATACGTACTCTTACAGTTCCCCAGTTCTCAATAGTAGTATATGTAATGAGATATGTATTCTCATAGTTCTCCACTTCTCACAGTTCTCAACAGTATATGTACCCCATAGGTATCCTTACGAATCACACGAAAAAGACCTATTAATACGCATAGCAGTGGTGTTTGTACTCGTGACTTTCAATACATAACATATTCGTATTATGACATCTCTGCAAACTTTTAGTAAATTTTTTTTGCGATTACTATTTTAACTTCAAAATATTTTTAAATACCAAATTTTGCTCAGTTTTAAGCGCTCTGTCGAATGAAATGTCGTTCAAATGAAAACTCACGATTCTATACATAAAAATCTGAAATTGGTCAATTTTCGTCTGCTTAAGAGATGATTCGCGAGGAAAGCGAGTATTTTGCGAAACAGGCGTAACATGCAAACGTTTGACACCTTGAAACTTTGGATAAAATTCAGCGCCTTGCTAGTAGGATTATTTCACAAGATTTTAGTAGTTCTTCTTCTCTACTCAAACAATTTAAAATTCAACCACTTTCAAACAGTCATCTATATTATCGCCTTCTCTATTTTATAAAATTTTCAATCATAAAAGTCCTGTCTCCTCTTTTAATCTGATTTCACAGTCAACAACGCGTCAAGGTTCTGTTTTAGTCTGTCAAACTTCTTTAGCCACATTTTAAAAGAGAGGTTAAACAGGCTTTTAATAATGTTATTTTCTTTACTTATATAAATTTTTAATTTTAGGTTATCACAGGGTATCCACGGACTTTTGTTGTTTTTTGTGATATCCTGCCCTTAAGTAAAATAAAATCTTATCTAATCATCTCTGCCCGTTCTGTCATTAACATTTTTGATAAAGGAAGAAAAAAAGAAATGCATTCAAACCTTTCTTCTCACTTTTTATTTATTCAATGCATGAGTCATCATTCATTATTCTCGTTTCGTTTCTTTTGCGACTTGAAAGCAATTTTACAAGACGCATAAAGAGTAACACATATCACCGAACTTCGAAATTTTCAAATACGATCAGAGGCTGGAGGATCCTACGGCCTCTGATCGCATTTGAAAATTTCGAAGTCTGGTGATATAGTTGGAATTTCCACACTACCAAAATCGATGTGTATTTAAATCTGTGCATTGAAGGGTACAAGAAGGAAAGATTTCTGACTTCAACGCAATTTATCTCAATATCGCAACAGCACGAAAGAACTCGCAGACAATCGAGTACACACGAAGAAAATGTGAGTATATACTTGTGTTGCTTTAAAAAATACAACTATAGAGCAAGGGTGGCCACTTATGGAGTCTCAAAGCCACTCGTTTTCCTGTAGTTCTGTTATTGGTTTCGTGCAATCTTTTATTTTGGGAGAAAGAATGAGAGAGACTTTTAAGAGAAGATAAGAATAACTTAAGAAGTCACATGCCAGGGACGACGAGCAAAGAGTAGCACCCTGTAAAGACGCCGACGACCGACTCGAAGATGGTTTCGATGAGAGTGTCGTGAGTGCATTTTACAGATGAATCTGTAATTCTTTCTAAATGCGCGGCGACCGTATTTAGGTGTTTGAAACAGGACCAATAATAGGACTTAATAAAGAGGATCAGAAGCTTATAATTTCAAACTTCGTTTCGAGACTACAATGGCTGTCACTTTCACTCGTTCAGAAAATGGTCAGCGAATTCGTTAGGCGGACGCTACTTGTTGAAACTCCTCACAGGAAATAAACCATTTACTGACAGTCTTCCTCTTCACACTATTCCAAAATTTTACTTCAAATACGCAGATGTCAACAACACGGCCTGTCAATGACTATAAGAATTCGAATGGAGAAGTGCCATATTACAATCCAGCGTCTGATCATGGTCGTCATTTCTCTCCATCACGTACGGGTATGTTAATCTAGAGAGAAAAATTAGATTCTCACACAACAGGTGTCCCAAAAAGAACTGCAGTTCCCGGGAAGTTCGAAAATTTTAAAAATTAATTTAAATGATGTATTTTCGACTTTTTATCAAAAAGCTATCAGCGCAATCCTTACAGGATTGATATTTGAAACACGATGTAGCCGCTGCAGCCGTAAACAAAGATCCTTCGTCACGTTTGTCATCATTGTCTTGGAGAAGAGGGAAACGGCTCCGTTTCAGGAGTCTGACTCTAAATGAAAGGCTTTCTAGACATCTTCCGCGACATGAATGGTATTCAGATAGAATGTATCTCACATGACTCGCACAAAGTCTCTAAAGGAAACCTTGTCAGCGCAATTCCCGGTGGAGCTTAAATGTGGAACTCACATAAATTCTCAAGTTCTGCATCACAGGAGAGATGTCTTATTGACGCAACAGACTGCATGAAACAACGAGCCGAATTCGTCTTTGTCTGTTTAATGGTTTTAGACATCTGCTGCATTCTCTCATTATCATGATGCTTCTTTTCTTTCTTCTTCTGTTGTTACTATGCTTTTGCACTTTACTTTTCTTTCTCATTTTATTTGTTTCTTTCGCGACCAGTTGCTTTAGTTTGATGCTCGCATAATTTTGCATGTGCAGAGCATCAAACTAAATTTTGACGCTGGCGATCATACGTCTAGGGCTGTTAGTTTACCATTACTTTACTAGCAACAAGTAACAATTTTGTTACTTTTAGTAAAGTAACAAGAAACGGTCTTTTAGTAGATATTTCTGCCAGTAGACTTCTTAAGTAAGGTTTTGTAAGATGAGGGTGAGGGTGTTGCTAAAAGGAAAGAAGTATCTGAAATATTTGTTAGTTACATATCACTGCTAAGGGAAGAATCATAACTTAAAAGACATCTAATGAAATTCAATTATTTCATCCTCACCCTCACCAAACCTTTTTCAAAACAGCTTTTATGAGCAAACAAAAAAAAACTTATTTTTAACAAAGTAACAAAGATTTGTTACTTTGTTCCCAGCAACAAGTAACAAATGCGTTACTTGTTACTAGTAACACAGTAACAAACTAGGATCTATTGTTACTAATTACTAGTAACAAGTAACAAATTCTTGTTCTACCGAAATGACGTTCAGTCTTGCTCCTTATCGAAGTTCGATCGTGTTTCTATGGTGGTCCTTATTTTAGTTTTTTTGTCGTGTCTAGTATGGCACAATTTTCTTTTCAATTTTCCACGCTGTATACTTCAACACTAATTAAGGTTCCCGTCACCTTAGAAACGTTCATTTTCGAGTTTTAGAAAAATTGTATATTGAGATAGCTTAAAGTGTCTTCTGTCAGAATCTGTGCTCATCACAGCAAAATTCAACCGCTTTTTTTTGACAATCAAATTCCCGATTTTCTGGGAGCCCCAAATACAGACCAAACAGAAAGATCCTATTAGATGTCGCTTGGAATGAATTGGATCCTAATTTAAATACCGTAAATGTGCAAATCAAAGTATTTTTTTTCGAATGAAATGCTGATCAGGATATTACAACGTCCCTGTACTAACGAGGGAACCTCTCGAGGTGATTAAAAGCTTTAGACTCAGACTATTTTCATCATGTAGGGAATAGTCAGTAGTGAAAAATCCCAAGTTGGTGTAGGCCCATGCGCCTTTTTGACGGAGATATGAGTTAATTAATGAAAATGCCATTAATAATAATTAATTAATAGCTCACGACCATGATCAGCTAGGAGTCGGAAATTTACACCACAGTTGAAGATAGATGTTGTCTACTCACTGCGACACTTTCAGGCTTATAAACCAAAGCTTTTGCAGGATATCAATTTTTTATGATTTAAACAGTTTTTAGTGAAAATTCACCATTGAAAACCTAAAAACTTGTTATCACTTTTTAGATACCTCTATCGACTCAGGAAAGACTTATTTCATTTAGATATAGGTCCCTAAGAGACGCTTAGCGTCTGTAGCGTGAACAGAGGTATTTAAAAAGTGGTAACAAGTTTTTAGGTTTTCAATTTTCACTAAAAACTGTCTAAATCATAAAAAATTGATATCCTGCAAAAGCTTTGGTTTATAAGCCTGAAAGTGTCGCAGTGAGTAGGCACCATCTATCTTCAACTGTGGTGTAAATTTCCGACTCCTAGCTGATCATGGTCGTGAGCTATTAATCAATTATTATTAATGGCATTTTCATTAATTAACTCATATCTCCG